GTAGAATACTCTGGAAGGTCATCGGCTAGCAAACTTGGTCGGTCAGCCATCTTTTCAGGCCGGTCGGCAATCTATTTGGCCGGTCGGCAGGAAAAATTTGCTCAGCAGGTCCAACTTCAAACGGGCATAACTTCTTCATATAAACTCCTTTTCAGGTCATTCTTCTGTCAAAATTGAAGCCCCGGAAGTAAGATTTCCAATGGAACCAGCCTTGCATCAAAATTCCAACTATGAAAAAGTTATGCTTGTTTTAGTGAAGGCTGCTCAGTTTCGGTCCAACCGGGATGATGCCCAACTTCAACCAATCATATCTCTGCCCTCCGGTCCCGGATTTAAGAGATTCTTGAATGGAAAATGAAGCCCCGGAAGTCTTATTTCCAACGATGGTGACCTCATACCTTAACTCAAAGTGTATAGACAAATAAGCTTGATTTAGCGAGGACTGCTCGTCCCTCTCTTAGCAATTCTTGCCTATCTTCTTCTCCAACTTGGCTTCTCCTCTTTTCTTCAACTTCAAACCCCTAAGCAAGGTGTTTTGAAAGATTTTTCAAAGATTTCATCTCTCTTTCATTCATTTCCACTTTGTCCTTGCTCAGGTTATCGAAAAGCGCATTTTTTGACAAAATGTGAGCCTCGGAATATCGTAGAAACTTTATTTCAAAAATGTTTTAAAAGGGAGGGTTTTAAGGTCTAAAAACCATTCAAAATAGCTTTGGTCCAAAATGGGGTGTGAAGTTGGGATTTGACCCTCTCATTGCCGAAGAAATTGAACCTTTACCCTGCACACCTTTCATCATCGAGCAAACCATCAGTAGCGCCCAAGTCTTAAGGGCGGTCAAAAATGGGGTGTCTACAGTATCAGTGTTGGCCATCTATCAATTGCTAATATTTTATTCATTGTCCATGGTTGGTTTAGTGTATCTCTACTAGGCTGTGGCTCACCCTATATGGGAATATCATTTTCAGGTACATGAAGCATGCCACCTCCAAGGACATAGCTTGAGAGCCTAGTGGCGGACATACTTTTGTCGTTTTCTTTTTGATGTATTACATGTAAATTGATGCCAAGGGCTTAATGTGTATGAGTTAGTACTCTTTGGTTGTAACCAAGTGTTAACTTGGAAAGCTGTAAGCCCGTAGGGCATTTGCTTTTGTTGTTAACATGTAATACTTTTTGTAATGAAACTCTGAGAAAATGAAAGAATGTGGAACTTTTGAATATCAATGCCTGTATTATTTGTTGGGTTTAATCTTATTATTTTGAGGGCGTTACAAATGTGCTTAGCAATTGGTGAACACTAATGAATGCTTTTGAGTTGATCATTCAACTATGAATGCTACAGCCTTTCACTACAACAAAATTAACTTTTCACGGCACCAGATCCACGACATACAATGAATGCAAGCCTAATTTCTCACTTAAAAACCCCTTTGCAAAGTCTCTCAAGTGAGTCCATATATGACTTGTGTCGTGCACCTCAAATTTTACTGATTTTGAACTCCTAAGAATGTTGCCTTTCAAAAAAAAAATTCAGTATCCCCACCAAATAAAAATCTGTCAGCTTGCCCTACCACTGCTATCAAATTCATTAATTCTCAAAACCTTTTGATAAGACATAGAAAGTCAGATTATTGGAGCTCAATAAAACCAAATTCAGATTGGTAATTTTAAAAGGTAATTTTAAAATAAGAAGGATATGTATTAGAAAAGTACTCAAAATTTTGAAATTTAGTGATTAGATTCATTCTGTGCGACCCTCACAATAAGAAATTACGAATTTTAGATAGTGTTTTTTTCAAGGTACATAACATTTTTTTTTTCCTGATTTTAAAAAGCGACAATCTTGAATCACCTCCAGAATGTGACCATTCTCATTGAGGTTCCTCCCATTAATTTGATTCCCTACCAGGCTGCCATTTCATTTTTTGAACCTCCTCTCTCTCTCTCTCTCTCTCTCTCTCTCTCTCTCTCTGGTGCTGGTTTGCTCTGGCTGTTGCTTTATTTTCTTCAGCTTGCTGTTCTGCTCTGACTTTGTTGCTCTGGATCTATTAATCTGTTGCTGTTGCTGTTACTTCATTCATGTGTGGTGCTGCTAATTTGTGTGAGCTCTGCTACTGGTTTGTTCTGGCTGTTGCTCTATTTCAAGGGGACGGGTTTGAGCAGAGGGCAGATGATTTGATGGCAGTGAAAGAGGACTTAGCCAACCTCCAGTTTTTCAATGACCAAGAATCAGGGGACGCGGCAGTCAACTGGTTTGATTATGAGGAATCGGCAGAGGTAACTGGGTGGCTTGACAACCTACCAGACGTCGTCGAAGAATCTCAGTTGAAGCAGGGCCCGGTAGGGGCGAGAGTATCAATTGTGGCCGGAAGGGCCGAAAGTCAGAATACATTGCCGGAGAGCGCCGGTACGAAGAATTTCG